GGCGGCTTGTTACTCTGAAACTGTGCGAAATCCCCAAATTGCGCACCCACAGCTTGGTTCTGATTAGCAACCACCTGCGCCATCGCTTGCATAGCAGAAGCAAAATCAACATCATTCCTTCCTGCCATACTACTTGACAATAACAACACCAGGTTAAAAGATACACAATCTCTATCCTAGGGACAGACTCAATAACTACACTGGTCGGACGGACCGACCTGCTCTGATACCAATTGTAACACCCCACTTTCCCGAATTAAAATAAAATACGATTAATTCAAATAAACATCAGAGTTCTCCACTAAAGTGGGATATCACATCACATAACTCGACATACTCTTCATTAGAAGGTTCTCAAAACATAGCAGCGGAAAATAGTCATCAGTTCATCAATCTCGGCCATCCGCCAATACGTGAAAATATTCATTAATAAAATGCACCAACACATGATACGTCACAGGAAAGTAAAACAAGTTCAACTATATCAAAAGAAAACGCCCAAGTCCCGTGCTACGTATCAGAGCATCCTAAGACTCGACTCGCACACCTCTATCCAAGCTAGCTAAGTACCTAGATTATCTGTACTTCTGAAGAAGCACAGACCACAGCAACAACAAAGGGGTGAGAAAACATGATCGAAATATCCCGTAATACAGTACATGAAATACAGGTAGTAATCATATAATTCATCACTCAACATTCATTAAACACGACCTACTGTCCAACACAACACACCCTAATGCAATTATGCAACTCAACACCATGCATGCGGTACCGACTCATTGGTTCATTCAATCGAACACCGGATAGATCACATACACCTGTCCTTGGCCATGATTTGTCCCTACCATTCTCCACAAGGGAGTACAGATGAATCACACACACTCCTCCTAAGCAATGATTCATCCCACCAAAAACCATGATATGCATAACACCAAATGCACAACAAATGAACTCAAGCACACAAGGTGCACACGATCCCCTGATCACATCACCATACAACATACATACGTATTATTCATCAATTAATTATTTTAATTTAAGTCACACGATCCCCCTGATCCCATCACCATACCCCATACATATCTCACACCCCAATATACTTATTTCAATTAACTTCAATCACTACATAATTTCACCTTTTAATGCCAAGTATACACTCTTCACCACTAATCACCATATCTATACTGGTCACAACTCAAGGGATACTACAAAACGAGGTCACAAGGCTAAACAACACAACATCACTTTTCTGTCGCGCTCGCTGGCTCATTCGCTTAGCGAAGCCCTAGCGAACGCTCGCTAGCTGCTCACTTAGCGAACTCCCTAGCGAAGGCAGACAGTAGCTACTGGAAGGGTTCACTACCCCACTCGCCTAGCGAACCTGCTAGCGAATGCTCGCGACTAGCTCGCCTAGCGAAGGTGCTAGCGAGCTTCTGCGATCTCTCAAAACCCTCACTGTCCAACAATGTCATCTTGCCCAATTCCAAGCCTATCACTCTACTTTCATCTCCCATCCTATCATTACTACAACCAGTACACACTACTCTAGTCATTATTCTATCAATTTATCTCCAGAACCCACACCTATGTCCATCAACAGAACTACAGAAGTTACTCAGAACCTCGCCAAAATCACACAATTTGTGCACCCATTCATCAATGGCAGCAACAATCATAAACACATCAACATGCACACGAAATTCATCATAATCAACAACAATCAAAGACATATAAACATAATAAACATGTTCATTAAATCCCTACGGGGTTAAGGAATCCCCTCTACCCAATTTCATGTAAACACCAATCTCAATCAATTTCTCCCCCTTACCTCGATTAATGCTCCGATTGACGAAGAACCTGAAGAATCGTTAGCCCTAGCCTTCTTCTCTCCCTCCTTGTTCTTCCTCTTTACTCGTCTCTCTAAAATTGGTTTATCGTGTTCTAATCTACCCTTTTTCCCCAAACTCTTCTAATACCCCTTTTTAATCCTTATTTCATTTTATTAATCTAATAATAATAATAATAATAATAATAATAATAATAATAATAATAATAATAATAATAATAATAGTAAGATTAATAACATAACCACATTACTATAAAGTATTATATTATTATCATTATCAATTATATTATATTAATATTAAACTCTACATTTTATTAAATGATTCCTATAAATTAAGGACACCCACCCACGCGCTCAGACACACTCTCCCACAAAGGACACACCAAAATAAAATAACACCAAAAGACTAAATAATTAAAATGGGTGTTACACAATGCCCTCTTTTACCTTAAACTTTATGTTACCCCTAAGTGGTAAGGAACTCCTTTATGACATGTTAACTACGATGATGGCATGTCTACAAATTAGTGCATCCAAATATGCAGATAATGTAATGTCTATTTAATCCTCTTTTAATCCATACTTAGCATAAGGATTTTCTATTAGAAATTATGGTCGAATGGCACAACCACAAGGATGGTTAGGATATATTCCTCCAGGTATGCCATCCTTAACCACTAGTTCTCTTCATTCTATGAGGAAATAAATGGATGAGAGTAATCACGAAATAGTTAACGTTCTTACACATCAAATATGGATTATGTTCAATCCTCTGATTCAGAACACCAACCATATTTACCGTAAATTGGCACACTAAATAGGTAGAATAGCTTACTTCTTTGGTGCTCCTCAAAAGCCTATTCAGTTGGTGCCTAAAAATCAGATACCACAACATGTGGTACCTGTCGAACAAACCATACCTAGGGTAGCCGAAGGAAATGCAGGCCAAAATGACCATAAGGTAGTATTGGTGCATAGAAACCAGGATACTGACCAAATAGTTAAAAATGCCCAACACGATTTTTTTGGGAGGCAGAATAATATAACTAATGTGTTTGAACAAATATTGGCCCACAATCCAAATTTCATTTCAGCACTGTCTGAATACGTGTTGCAAACTAAATTGCCCAAAGGTTTTAAAATTCCAAAGTTTACTAAATGTGTAGGAGACACTAATGAATCGATTGTTGAACATGTCGCTCGATATCTGTTAGAGGCATTGGACTTAGCCAATAATGAAAATTTGAAAATGAAATATTTCCTTGACTCTTTGACCAAGAACTCCTTCACATGGTTCACCATAATTCCCCCACACTCCATACATAATTGGAGTTAGTTAGAAAGGGCATTCCATGAGAAGCTTTACATGGGTCACCCAAATATCAGCCTCAAAGAACTAGCCAATGTGAGGCAAAAGATGGATGAGTCATTTGATTACTATCTTAACAAGTTTAGGATAATGAAGTCATGGTGTTTTACTCAATTTCCTGAACATGAGTTAGTTGAACTAGCTGCAGGAGGTATGGAATATTCTATTAGGAAGAAGTTGAATACCCAATACTTGAGGGACGTGGCCCAACTAGTAGATACAGTTTAACAAGTCGAACGTCTGAAAGCTTTAAAGGCCAGGTCAAGTAAATATCATAAAAAAGAAAAAGTTGATTATGTCGAGGTAGATAAAATTGATCAGGTATCCGACTTTGAGTGTAATTATTTTGAAGAAAGTGAGGTTAATTTGGAAGAATTAAAACCATGGCGTCTTTATGTTGTAAGGTGCTTAAACCTACAGCCTGATAAAATCCTGTCGAGCCTATTGTTACATCTCGAAAAATACGATCCTTCGCGAAATCGCAGAAAAAAAAGTTATTCGAATAGAGTTGCCACCAAACTTTATTTATTTTAATGAAGGAAAGGGAAAATATTTATAAAACCCTTAAAAAAAAAAGAAAATGGTCGTCGCAACCAAATTAGAATTCAAGAGTCGATTACGCAAGGGGAATGTATTAACAACCCTCACATCCATTGTACTCAACGAGAAATTTTCATTTAGATGGCGATAGAATATTAGCTAATGTCAATTGTTTTCTTCGAGTGATAAGAGTGTAAAAGGAAAATAAAACGGGTCGCAAAAATGTTTTCATTAGGGTGCTTGACAAGATTGTGAGTCTTGCTCCTAAATATCCTCAAGTACAATGAGGAAATCAAATCTTCATAGTTCGGAAATACAAAAGATAATTTTGAAGTTTTTGTTATAGTTCTTTACGAGACATGAATCTCACTCCTATGTATCTTCAGGTGCGATGCACAACTCAAAGCCACGTATTTCTTGGTAGAAAATGAGTGTTGGTTGGTTGATTTTAGATAACGAATGTTTAGGTCGCATTATATGCTCGCACATGGGAGATTTATCGCTTGTTTTTTTTTTGAAGTAAAATGGATCTTGTTTGATCGCATTCTAGCAGTTTAAACATTTAGCTGTATGCTCGCTCATGGGAGGCTTAAGCTAGACTTAAGCTAGTAAAATGGACTAAACAATGTTCATTTGTGAAAAGGTTTTGATCGCACGAGGCGAGAAAAAGATAGATTTGATTGGTTGGTTTGTTTTAATGAACAAGTACTTAGATTTCATAATAACAGTTCAATGTTGGCTTGCATACTCACGGTGGAGACTTAAGCGCTAGTTTGTATACACATTAGAAAGGATTAAACAATATTATTTTGAAAAAGACTTTGTTGATCGCACTGAGACGAGAAAAGAAGTTTGACGTGTTTGAGTGTTTTAAACAAATGGTAAATATATAATGAGAACGAGACGTGAGAAAAGAATTTCTAATGCGTCACTAATATAACTAGTAATAACAATTTTGTGACGCATTATCATTTTTATTACTAGTAATTCAAAATTTTAACGATAATGCGTCACAAAATTTTTATTACTAGTTATATTAGTGACAACATTAAATTTTTTTATTACTAGTTATATTAGTAACTCAAAGACAATGACGACTTGACGTTCACACAATTCTTATCCTCTTCCTTTCCAATTTCCATCCTTTTTCAATTTTTCTGAAATTTCGAGTTTTGAACCTGTTGTTAGAAAGGTTTCACCCTCGCCTTTTTCTCTTTCGCCATTCTCCGATCCATTAAGATGGAGAATGAAGATCCTTCTCCATCCTCATCAAATTTGGGATTTCCGTCAAAGAAACAAGGTGAATTGATTATGCTAAATTGGTATGAGAATGAGATATAAAAAAATTGAAATTGAGATAATAAATAATCATTTTTTGATATAAAAACCAAAGCTTTAAAATTTATTTGATCGAGAAGCAAAGATGGAACATCATAGGATTTTTAGACGCAAGAAGATAAATGGAGCCCTGAGTGCGGATTTGTCTTTAGTTATAGTCGTTATTATCGTTGGTCGCACTCTCACATGATTCATCATAGACATTAATCTTAACAGTAAAGGAAAGCCAATTGAGATATTAAATAATTAGTTTTTGATATAAAAATCAAAGCTTTAGAATTTATTTGATCGAGAAGCAAAGACGGAACATCATAGGATTTCTAGATTATAAGAAGATAAATGGAGCTCTGAATACGGAGTTGTCTTTAGTTATATTCGTTATTGTCGTTGGTCGCACTCTCACATGATTTCTCGTAGACATTAATTTTAGCAGTAAAGGAAAGCCAGTCGTAATCAGCGCTGACCTAAAGGAAGCGAGGAGCATCAGAAAGGTCATCCTCTAAGATCTCCTTACTCTTGCACCTCTTGCACCAGTAGCAGAACAAGGTCCAGAGGAATCAATATGTATTAACTATATGTTATATTGTTTGTTATATTTATTTGAGTTTTGTTTGGATTTTTTAAAATTGGACCCTAAGCCCATTACTATGTGCACCTGTTATTTTTGCGTATTGAGTTTTCGATTCAATTTATGCTAACATGTGTGTTGGATATTTAAATTGCCACTATTTTGTTTCTATGTAATTTGTAAAAATGTAAATATAATTTTGTGTTGCGGCTGGTCGTTGTTCTATTTCATTGTGTTGTGTTGTGTGAATCGGACATTGATCCGCGGATTAGACATTTTTATATCGTTATGCCGACGAAATTTTAGTACATTAATAGGATATCTTTGTCGCATTATGATCTTTGGGTATGACCTTTCACTCACATTGTCATTATGCACAAACCGACTTTGAGCACATTATAGTTAAATTTGAATTTTCCACCATTTTACTCATGACTTAACTATGCATTATTGATCATCTTGATAATTAAATGATAAGCGTAATCGAATAAATATTTTCAATAAACAAAACCTTTGGTCCAACTCTAGATGAACTTTTCGCAAACCTTAGTTCAATTCTAAGTGATCTTTTTTTCAACTTGATTGAATTGATTCAATGCGGATCAAATATTTTCTCAAATAGCATAAAATTAAAAATCTATTCTTAAACAAACACGAAAGAAGATGAGCCTTGAAGTCTCGCATTCCCTTACACCTCGAGTGATTGGTCCTGAGGCACACGTTTTGGGAGAGACGATTGTTCATACTTTCGTTTCTAAGACACTTAATATAGACTTGGACAAAAGAAGGGACAGTTGGAGTCTAACATTCCAATAGAACCTTTGAACATCAATTTCAAGGCACACATATTATTCTTGTTTAATATTCGTTGTCCATCAAACAAATCTCATAAACTTGGAATAAAGAATAATTTGTTGGAGTCTAGCATTCCAGTCAAACCCTAAATAATTAGTCCCGAGGCTCACGTCTCGTTCTCATTAGATATTCACCATTTCTTTAAAAACACTCAAACACGTCAAACTTTTTTTCTCGTCTCAGTGCGATCAACAAAGTCTTTTTCAAAAGAACATTGTTTAATCTTTTCTAATGTGTATACAAACTAGCGCTTAAGTCTCCACCGTGAGTATGCAAGCCAACATTGAACTGTTATAATGAAATCTAAGTACTTGTTCATTAAAACAAACCAACCAATCAAACCTATCTTTTTCTCGCCTCGTGCGATCGAAACCTTTTCACAAACGAACATTGTTTAGTCCATTACCGTGACACAAACAAGAGCTTAAGCCTCCCATTAGCGAGCATACAACTAAATGTTTAAACTGCTAGAATGCGATCAAACAAGATCCATTCTACTTCAAAAAAACAAGCGATAAATCTCCCATGCGCGAGTATATAATGCGACCTAAACATTCGTTATCTAAAATCAACCAACCAACACTCATTTTCTACCAAGAAATACGTGGCTTTGAGTTGTGCATCGCACTTGAAGATACATAGGAGTGAGATTCATGTCTCGTAAAGAACTATAACAAAAACTTTAAAATTATCTTTTGTCTTGCGCCGAACTATGAATATTTGATTTCCTCATTGTACTTGAGGATATTTATGAGCAAGACTCGCAATCTTGTTAAGCACCCTAATGAAAACATTTGTGCGACCCCTTTTATTTTCCTTTTACACTCTTATCACTCGAAGAAAATAATTGACATTAGCTAACATTCTATCGCCGTCTAACTAAAAATTTCTCGTTGATTACAATGGACGTGAGGGATGCTAATACATTCCCCTTGCGTAATCGACTCCCGAATTCTAATTTGGTCGCGACGACCATTTTCTTTCTTTTTAAGGGTTTTATCAATATTTTCCTTTTCCTTCATTAGAATAAATAAAGTTTGGTGGCAACTCTATTAGAATAACTTTTTTTCTGCGACTTCACGAAGGATCATATTTTTCGAGATGCAACAATAGGCTCGATAGGATTTTATCAGGCTGTAGGTTTAATCACCTTACAACATAAAGACGCCATGGTTTTAATTCTGCCAAATTAACCTCACTTTACTCAAAATGATTACACTCAAAGTCGGATATCTGATCAATTTTATCTACCTCGACATAGGCAACTTTTTTTTAATGATATTTACTTGACCTGACCTTTTCATCTTTCATTCGTTCGACTTGTCAAACTGTATCTACTAGTTGGGCCACGTCCCTCAAGTATTGGGTATTCAACTTTTCCTAATGGAATATTCCATACCTCCTGCAACTAGTTCAGGAACTTGAGTGAAACACCATGACTTCATTATCCTAAACTTGTTAAGATAGTCATCTATTGACTCATCCATCTTTTGCCTCACATTGGTTAGTTCTTTGAGGCTGATATCCAGGTGACCCATGTAAAGCTTCTCCTGGAATGCCCTTTCTAACTGACTCCAATTATGTAACGAGTGTGGGGGAATTATGGTGAACCATGTGAAAGAGTTCTTAGTCAAAGAGTCAAGGAAATATTTCATTTTCAAATTTTCATTATTGGCTAAGTCCAATGCCTCTAACAGATATCGAGCGACATGTTCAACAGTCGATTCATTAGTGTCTCCTACATATTTAGTAAACTTTGGAATTCTCAAACCTTTGGACTATTTAGTTTGCAACACGCATTCAGACAGTGCTGAAATGAAATTTGGCTTGTAGGCCAATATTTGTTCAAACACATTAGTTATATTATTCTGCCTCCCAAAGAAATCTTGTTGGTCATTTCTAACTATTTGGTCAACATCCTGGTTTCTATGCACCAATACTACCTTAGAGTCATTTTGGCCTGCATTTTCTTCGACTATCCTAGGTATGGTTTGTTCGACAGGTACTACATGTTGTGGTATCTGGTTTTTAGGCACCAACTCAATAGGCGTTTGAGGAGCACCAAAGAAGTCAGCAATTCTACCTATTTAGTGTGCCAATTTACGGTAAATATGGTTGGTGTTCTGAATTAGAGGATTGAACGTAATCCCTATTTGATGTGTAAGAATGTTAACCATTTCGTGATTACTCTCATCCATTTATTTCCTCATAGAATGAACAGAACTAGTGGTTAAGGATGACATACTGGAGGAATATATCCTAACCATCCTCGTGGTTGTGTCATTCGACCATGATTTCTAATAGCAAATCCTTATGCTAAGTATGGATTAATAGAGGATTAAATAGACATTACATTATCTGCATATGTGGATGCACTAATTTATAGGCATGCCATCATCGTAGTTAACATGCCATAAAGGAGTTCCCTACCACTTAGGGGTAACGTAAAGTTTAAGGGAAAAGAGGGCATTGGGTCTCCTATCAAACTTTGTGTAGCACTATGAGTAGTGGCACACTTGTTACTTGTGGTAGGGAACCCACCACTTTTTGTGGTATTGACGACACTAATACTTGACTTATAACAGTAGGGTTTTCTCCAACGGTTTTTGAAGTCTCCGCATTGCCAATCGTCAGATCTATTGGCTTTTCTTCTACGTTATGAGCATTCCTCCAATGAGGAAGAAATTTTTTGAAAGTTGGACGAGTCATTTCTAAAAGAATTTTACCACTTCTAAAATGCATAAACACTCGACAAATGAGGATATTTCATGTATGAAGAACATAACAAAACAATGTAAAACACAACACTTTTCTGATAAAACAAGTTAAAATTTCTTACACAAAAGGGTCACACTAGGCATGTCATTTTATTTCTTGGTATTTTTATTAAACAATCATAAGTTTGATTTACTTAAAAGATTAAACTAGAAAAAAATCTTAAAGATAATTTTTAAAGAAAAGTGTTTGTGAATGATACTTAAATGCTTGAAAGTAAACAAACGGAATGTAAATGCATAATTTTTTTCGAGAAATAAAAGAGACAAAAAGCATAACAAATTTCATAAAATAAATGCTTTGCTTTAAAAGACTTAAAAGAAATTTAAAAGGTGGGCGCATTCTCATACTTTTATCATAAATTGTTTCTCTTATAACTTGGATACTTAAGTTTTATAGTGAACGAGTGAAAATTGTGACCCTGATCTCATACAATTAGATCGACTTATATGTTAATATAAAAGTAACAATCAACAATTAATAGATCCCTATGATCTAACACATACCCCACTACGTATGATTCGATGCTCTAACTTACTTCTACGTGTCTTCAATAACAAAATTGCTGAAAACCAACCACCATGCTAATAAATTCACTGATAACTACTTTTGAACCTCTTAACTTACTCTGTCGAGAGCCTTTGGTCGACTCTTATGGTGTTGTTGAGACACCTTCACATCACTTACTGGTGTTGTTGAGACACCTTCACATCACTTACTTTTTGGACTTAAGAATATCTTAAGTCCCAACATTTGGTGTGTATATGTGTGAGAGAGTTGCCACGTTTCATGTGAGTAACTCAACTACCACATAAGCCTGTTAAATATCTATCAAAATTCATATCAAATAAATTAGAGTTTAGAAATACAAAGCCAACGAGGCAAGGAAAAACAAAAGACTTGACAAAAGAAATCCATATCAAATACAAAAGGAAAGAAACGGGAAATAGCCTAAATATGCTTCCAAAGGCTCCTTGCAGCAGATAAACAGAGAAACCAAACCCCTGATGAAGTTTACATCAGCTATGCAACTCCACTCAACTAAAGTTCCAACAAAGTAATATAGCAACAGCATGCCGAAAACAAACGAAAAGGCTAACAAATTAAGCAGTAAAACAAAAAATAGCTAAAACCTCCACCTCTAAGTAACACTGACACTGCATCCTTCTCTTTCATTGATTCATTCCACTCGACTTTTCTACTTCATGTTAGGATTGAAGTCACACTGACACTGCATCCTTCTCTTTCATTGATTCATTCCACTCGACTTTTCTTCTTTCTGTTAGGATTGAAGTCACTCTGACACTGCATCCTTCTCTTTCATTGATTCCTTCCACTCGGCTTTTCTTCTTTCTGTTAGGATTGAAGTCACACTGACACTGCATCCTTCTCTTTCATTGATTCATTCCACTCGACTTTTCTTCTTTCTGTTAGGATTGAAGTCACACTGACACTGCATCCTTCTCTTTCATTGATTCATTCCACTCGACTCTCCTTCAGTAGCTTCATTTTAGTCATCTCTACAAATAATGCCTCTCAGATCAGGTACTTGATGTAAGCTCCAGTTTTTCACCAACCGGTTCATCATATACTAGATAAACTGCAATCTTCTTCACAATGAAACCATTCTCAAAAACAAAGACAACCTCCACTTTGTTACCAGGTCCCATGCTCAATACTATCCTCCGCCCCTCCTCATCTTCAAGGGGGGCTAATGTCTCTCTCTTATAAAGCTGAATGGTACTCTTTGTGTAATTTTTCACCAACACACTTTTAAGGTGCCCATCGGATGCTATGTCGTCTGGAGTGGAAGTATAGACAATGCACATCATTGTATTCAAGTTACGCTCCTCCACTCGAGGGACTTGAAAGGTTACAGAAGAGGTTTCAGAATGAAAGGTTATCCAATTTGGATAGTTATCACCGGGGAGAAAACAACCATCGCTCTCATTGACATCCATGTTCTGTAAAAGTAAAGCTAAGTTAAAAATTTAATAGACAAGTATATTAATACCACCTTATCAATTTATTCAACAATTAAGGTATAATTTTCCTCACAAGGTAACTTATAATATTTTAGATGTTATGTTTTTCCAAGTTACACATACATATTTGCTTGGACTCATAAAACAGACTATTAGTCCAACCTAAAATAATAATAATAATGACAAATTGTATTAATCTCTAAAATATCGAAAAATGTAAGGGTTTAACAATGTCAATTTCTATAAACAAAGTGCATGCAAAAGATGTCACAACTCTACATGCCACCAAAAGCAAAACTCATATCCAATATATAACATAACTAGCATGGAAGATGCATGCTCGTGTTCTCATGGCTCAGAAGTATCTGTTGTAAAATATTTTGTAATGTCAACAAATGACTGCTCATTAAGGTATGGTTCCAATGATTTACTTTTAATGTTCCCTTCCATCTCAACAAGTATTCAAATATGAATGCTCTTGTTGTTCTTAACACTCACACTTTTTATGCATCACTCAAGGTTTAACAGAAAATTTTACTTATAAAATAACTGACATTTCAGTTATGTGTTAAAAATCCCTCCTCACATGATGTAATTTTAACATATGTTTATAAATGAGGGTAATCTTCATTTTATGAATCGGTTTTGCATGACTAAGTTAAGTCAAACCACAACTCTATGATGGTATCAGAGCCATTTAAAATTAAATTAAATTAAACCATACCAAAAAAGAGAGTGTATCTTTAGAAAAAAAAAAGAATAAAGACGATAATTCTTCAATACACCGATACATATGTCATGTAAGTTGTCAATGACTAATATCATAAAAGGGGGGATAGAGAGAGATTGTCAAACCTGTAAAATTTTCTTTTTCAGAAAATTAGTGACTTGGCAATTCATTCCCATTTGAATTAAAAGAGACTTCAAGCAATGTTTTGATCCTAAAACATGCACTTGACTACTGCTTGATAATTGTGATGTAGTTGCAGTTGATTCCAAATCCTTAGAAACTGTGACACATAAAGCATCCAAAATTATTTTAGCATGTAAAGCAAGTTGATCTTCAGATTTGAAATCCACCCAAAGACTTCGAAGCCTCGGAAGGTAGTTAGAAAAAGTTGATAGTTCTTGAGAACTATCAAGAGATGACATGATAGTAGATGTTTGAAATTGGGAGGGGAGACTATATGTTGGTGACACCCAAGACCAAATTATAGATGGAAACACATCACATGAAAATCTTTCATAGTTCCACAGAGAAATATATCCAATGCTTTTGGACCCTATCACTGAAAAGGGAACTTTGGTTGAAGATTCCATTTGTTCTACATCTTCCAACTTTTCAATCTTTAAACAACCCGAAAGAATGAGAGTTTTCAGAGATTCCAACTTATATATGCTTCTTGGGAGACTGCATAGGCTAATACAATCTTCCAAATTTATTAGAAGAATTTTCTTGAGATGTCCAATGCTAGGAGAAACCTCAGACAACAATGGACAATCTTTAAGTATTAGCTTTTCAAGATTAGGCATGTTTGAAAAGTCAGGACTTTGTGTGAGATGGTGAGAATGACTAAGATTGAGAATCTTCAGCTTCTCCATCATCTGCAAGGGCATAAATATTATTAATGAACTTAGGGAAGAGACTTCAAAAAGCAAATAGAAAGAATTAAAATATATCACTAACCATAAGAATGGAAAATAAAACATTTACATTAGCGTAGAGTAATTTTTTAAATGTTTAATATCAATGAAAAATCTTTGAAACAAGGTAAATTTCTGCGTATAATATTGCACAAGTTATTAACCATTGTCTGAGAATTCTACTGAGCTCATAAATTTAAAATGTAAATTTAGAGTTTTTTTTAATCAAATAGTAAAAAATCAACCATTTTTGCCCCCTTCCTTTTGCTATATCAAAGTTTTTGCACAACATTTAGGTGATAAATTTGCAATTATATGTTTGGCATGCAGTCGTTGTAGTAGCTTTCATGGTGTACTATCATCCAACTACATTAATTGTCAAATGCTTAAAAAAGTTCCATTATCACAAGATTAAAAAATTAATTATTACCGTGAAAGGCTGTGATTTATATATTTAAACTTCAACCAGAAATATGAGAAGTGATAAAATAAAGTGTGAAAAACTAAAATGAAAAACAATACCAGAGTCTTATTCCATTGAAGTTCCACATTGCAGTTCTTTAACTCGATGAAAACCAAATTTTCTCGATAGAAGTTTGTAGGTATGTGACTTAATCCATCCCATAACAGCCATCTCAGATTTCTTGAAACATGTTCAAAATCTCCATCAAGTTTTACCTCTGCAAGTTGAAGCAAGTAGAGCCTTTTCATTTTTTGAAATGCTTTGGTGCTAAAACATTTTGCATTTTCCCTAGACAACTTCAAAGTCAATCCCATAACACTTTTTTTCCCCTGTCAAATATAATGGACCAAAAATATAAAACACAAAAAAATATTTTAAAAAAAGTAAAACAACAATGCATGTATAAAATTTGCCATGAAAGAAATCATTTGTTACTAGCTAGAAGTCAGAAAACACAAAGATTCAGAACCAAATTAATTTTTAATGATATCGTGATAATCGACAAAAACAAGATAGAAAAGATAAAAAAAAGTATAGTATATTAAGTTCTTACAGTTTGTCTTGATAAAATGTTTATGACATCCTCCTGAAACCACAACCTACTACACTTTTCAGGCACCCTTGGTGATTTCTCACGAATGATTTCTCTTCCCATATCTCGCAGCAAATCATGCATTCCAATCATGTTCTTATCATCAATAGTCACAAGGCTACGCTCAACAAGAACACGTATTCCAATTTCTGCAGAAAGTCCACGGTCATTTAATACAAGTATCACATCATTTCGGTCCATCCCAATAAAGAAACAAGCTATGTCAAGGAATATTTCTTTCTCGTCATCATCATTTAAGTCATCATAACTTATTCTTAACTTCTTATGCACTTCACAATTAGGAATTCTTTTGAGTTTATCCAACACAAATTTCCACTCTGATATCTTCTTATTAAACAAATTAGATCCAAGGACTTTGAGAGCTAGTGGCAATCCCCCAGAATATTCAACTATTATTTTGGAAATGTTAACAAAATCTTCTCGAGGAGTCGCTTGCTTAAATGCATTCCAACAAAAAAGCTCAATTGATTCATTTTCGTTCATTATAGTCATTTTGTATAATTTGTCAACTCTCCCTTCAAGTAAATTCATATCTCTGGTTGTGATGATTATTATACTCCCTGGACCAAACCATTGAGAACTTCCACAGAAAGTATTCAATTGCTCTAACGTACTCACATCATCGAGTAGAATAAGTACTTTTTTTTTACTTAATTTACACTGTAATGTGTTTATTCCTGACTCAATATTTGATATCTTCACTGTTGTTCCTTTGAAGATATCAAATAGAAGTTGCTCTTGTAAACCCACTAGTTCAACACTTTTCTCCCCGTGTTCCCTAATATTTGCAATGAAGCTCCTACCTTCAAATTGGCAGCCAATTTTATTGTAAATGGCTTTTGCAATAGTTGTTTTGCCAATTCCCCCATGCCCCATATCCCAAGTAGTTGAACTTTCTTTGTTTGAAGATCGGGTTGAAGAAGTTGAATCACTTCTTGCACTCGAGATTCAACTCCCACAGGATTGTGGGCAACGAACAAGTCAGTCTTGTTTAGCAAATGTGAAACTTTGTTAACAATTCTTTTGATATCATCGCTTTCATTCCTACACACATAAAATGTACATATGTATACATGAAAGCATGTTTATATTATATATAAAAGTAGAGGGGGAGTTTGTGTAAGAAAATTATACCTGGAGTTTAGTATTACAAACCCTGCTATGTTAGCTGCCTCAAAAAGCGCAGCTCTCCAACTTATCACCAACTTCCATGCCTGAAAGAATTCCATCTCGTCCATAATTTTTTTCAAAAGACGTTGAAAGCCTTTTCCAAACTGGCCACTCTGACGACGTACTTCAGAGGGATCTATATGGTAAAACACTGGCACAACTACCTGTCCTGGGGTTCTGTGACACTCCATTATCTTTACCAACTCATCCAGACACCATCGTGAATCGGCATAATTTATCGAGAAAACAATTATAGCAATCTGAGACTGTTGGATTGCTAGTGATAGTGACGGTGAAATGTGATCTCCTCTTTGAAGGTCATGATCGTCAATAAAAACCTTAATTCCAGCATTGTGAAGTGCAGTATAGAGATGTGAAGTAAAAGTAGCACGAGTATCTTCTCCTCTAAAACTTATGAACACGTCATGGATCTTTGATACGGGTTCAAGTTCAGGTTCCGGCTCATGCCACTCAAAAACTAGAACAGAAAAAGAGTCAATAAATGTATGGCCTAAAACTAAATTCATGAAATGTGGAATAAAATAAAATAATGTATTCATCACCTTCTTCCATAGTTGGCACGAATTTAGATGCGAATGAAGTGGCTGAAGGAATGCTGTGGTATACAAAATCTTGCGGGTGTAGGATCCTGCCATAATCTATTTCTAAAAATAAAAAAGAGAGAAAAGGAATCAACAAATGTATGGCTTCAAACTAAATTCATGCAACTTATAATTAAAGAGAATAATCAAGTCACCTTTTTCCATAGATGGAAATCCCAACTTTGATGAGGATGAAGAAGAATTTTCATTCTCCATTTTATTGGATCGGAAAATTGCAGAAAACAAAAAGCAGCGGGCAAAACCTTTCTAACAACGGGTTTAAAAGCCAAACCAGCGGCGAATTTCAGAAAAATTTAAAAAGAAAAGATGGAAAAGAAAAGGAAAAGAAATTGGGTCAAGATTCGCGACACGAATAATAATCTCCACTCGAACAGCCAGTGACAGCTAGTATTTTCGAAGAACTTGCTAGGGAGTTTGGAAGGAAAAGAAAAATGACCGCTTTGAAAAATGAGAAGACTTAAGGAAAAAAAAATGATGATTGAAGTGAAGAAAGTTCGATATTTATTTTTGGACAATTAACTTATATTTTTTTAAGCAAATATCATGTATTTGCTTTTATTTTTATTTATAAATGAATAAAAATATTTGATTTATTTTTATCTATTTTTTTAGTAATATTTTTATTTGAAAGGTATTAGATTTATATTATCAAGAAAGTTATTATGTGCTTTTTGTTTTAACAAATTCTCTTATGAATATTTTATTTTCATTATGTGCATTTTATTTATATTTTATGTGAGCATCGTGAAATTTGTAAATAAAAATTAAAAATTTGTGATCAATTTACTAAATGATAGCATGAACAATATATATAGGGTTTGTTAACGTAGATCCATTTGTTTTTATGGAAATTTATTTTTAGCAAGTTTTAATTAAAAAATGGTTAGATCACTTTAAAATAGACATTCATAAAAACACGTGAGTGCATTTTAGCAAACCCTTCAGGAATTTGTTAAAATACACCCACTTATTTTTATGAATGTCTATTTTAGCAAGCTTTAATTAAAAAATGGTTAGATGCACCATAAGGTGCATGTTGCTACGGTGCATGGTTGTAGGTTTTAGATGAGGAATTCTGAATTGGTAATGTTGATTTCTGATACAGTGGTGCGATAGTGGACTTACAAGATTAACACTCCAACGCTCAAATCTGTTCAAAATTTAAGATAAGTGCAGTGAAGAGTGGATATTGAAATATTATACCTTGAATTTTGTGTGAAGTAACTTTTGTCCCTTGGATCATGTGAAGTGGATTGACATAAATTTGGGCCTTAGCGATTTAGCCTTTTCGCTGTACCAGAACAGTTGTCTCCAAGGCTTGTCGGACGCTTAGGAAGTCGGAGAAATCTTTAATAGAGGTGACAATTGAATCCATTAAAACAAAATCCATCCAATCCATTCATCAAAAAATTCATCCAATTCATCCACCACATAAAAAATAAATTAATGAATTGGATTAAATATATCCATTTATATGCATGGATGGATTTAATTCATCCAACATATTTTAAGAATCCAAAAAATTATTTTTATTTTTATTAGATTAATTTTTTTAAAAATAATTAAAAATAAATTTTTTAAAAGAAAATAATTTATTTTTTTTCAAAAAAAAGTTGAATTTTTTTTCGAAAAAAACCAAATTTTTCGAAAAAAAATCTATTTTTTTCCTAAACAAAAAACCAAATTTTTTAAATAAAAAACAAAAATTTTACCCCCGAAAAAAAACCGACTTTAATTTTTCAAAAAAAAATTTTTTTTTTTCAAAATAAAAAACTGATTTTTTTCGAAACAAAAAACTGATTTTTTTTTATAAAAAAAAACTGACTTTTATTTTTGAAAAAAAATTGATATTTTTCAAAAATTAAAATATTAATTTTTTTCTTAAAAATACAAAAAAAAATTCAATGTTTGTCATGAATATATTAAAAACAATTTTTTTAAAATAAAATAGATAAAATAAAAAAATACTTTATTTTTTTTAAATAAAATAAAATACTTTATTTTTTTAAAATAAAAAAAAAATAGTTGGATGAATGGATATACATCCATTAAACATATGTTAATAATGTTAATAGATAGATTGAATGAATTTTATTTTTAATGGAATAGATTGTATTGAAAAATTTTAAGAAAATTTTAGTGGATTTTTAATGGACTAATAAATTATTTTAATCCATTCATTACCAATCTAATCTATATACATCCAATCCATCAATTTTACCACTCCTAAAAAATATTATCATCCGATTTGGACCATGAAAAATTATATAAACTAAAATTTTTCAAAATTTTGACTCGACCTTCTAATCAAATCAACCTTTTATTAATATTTAATTTGGATATAGCGATGTTGAGTGGGTGTCGGATTGTTGTCCACCCAAAATATAGTTTTGATAAGGAGTATTTATTAATGGTTATTAAAATAAGTATAATATTAAAATAAGTATTTATTATTTTGATAAGGAGTATTTATTATACTTATGTTAGATTCATTATATTATTAGCAGTATTACATTATAGTGAAAGAATAGATTAAAATAGAATAAAACCAAATAATGTCAATTATTTTGGACCCACCTATTAAGCTTTTGTGTGGAATTTTTATGATCTCTGCCGCGCCAATGTTGACTCAAAGACAGTGACGACTTGAAGTTCACACAATTCTTATCCTCTTCCTTTCCAATTTCCATCCTTTTTCAATTTTTCTGAAATTTGGAGTTTTGAACCTGTTGTTAGAAAGGTTTCACCCTGGACTTATTCTCTTCCGCCATTCTCGGATCCATGAGGATGGAGAAAGATCCTTCTCCATCCTCATCAAAGTTGGGATTTCCGTCAAAGAAACAAGGTGAATTGATTATTTTATTTAATTCTACATTGCATCAATTTTAGTTTGAACCCATACATTTATTCATTCTCCTTTTCTCTCTTTGAACCGGTAAGGAACTTTGAACCGGATGAATACATTATTTTACATGAATTTAGTTTGAAGCCACACAGTTATTGACTCTCTTCCTCTCTTTTTGTGTTCTAGTTTTGTATGGGACTATGGAACCTAAACCTGATCCTGGACGCGTATTAAAAATCCATGACGTGTTCTTAAGTTTTCGAGGAGAAGATACTCGTGCTTCCTTCACTTCACATCTCTGTACAGCTCTGTTGAATGCTGGAATTACTGTTTTTATTGACGATAATGACCTTCAAAGAGGAGATCACATTTCACTATCATTACACCTTGCAATTGAGCAGTCTCGTATTGCTATAATTGTTTTCTCTACAAATTACGCCGATTCACGGTGGTGTCTCGATGAATTGGAAAACATAATGGCTTGTAGCAGAGACAAAAGACAAGTGGTTGTGCCATTGTTCTACCATATAGATCCGTCTGAAGTACGCCATCAGAGAGGCGAGTTTGGAATTGCTTTTCAACGTCTTTTGTACAAAATTACAAACGAGCTGGAAATCAACCAGGCGCAGAAGTTGGTGGTAAGTTGGAGAGACACACTTCGTGAGGCAGCTAGCATTGCAGGGTTTGTAATACTTAACTCTAGGTTGGTAACTGTTTTACTCTATGTATAGATAGATACCTTGTATTTGTGTATACATATCTATAAGTTCTATTTGTGTAGGAATGAAAGTGAGGATATCAAAAGAATTGTTGACAAAGTTTCACATTTGCTCAACAAGTCAGACTTGTTTATTGCACACAATCCCGTGGGAATTGAATCTCGAGTGCAAGATGTGATTCAACTTCTTCAACCCATTCTTCTATCAAAGAAAGTTCGACTACTTGGGATATGGGGCATGGGGGGAATTGGCAAAACAACTATTGCGAAAGCCATTTACAATAAAATTGGCCGCAATTTTGAAGGTAGGAGCTTCATTGCAAATATTAGGGAACATGGGGAGAAAATTGATGGACTAGTGGGTTTACAAGAGCAACTTCTATTTGATATTTTCAAAGAAACAACAGTGAAAATACCACATGTTGAGTCAGGAATGAACACATTACAGCGTAAACTAAGTAAAAAAAAAGTACTTATTCTACTTGATGATGTGAATACGTTAGAGCAATTGAATACTTTCTGTGGAAGTCCTCAATGGTTTGGCCCAGAGAGTTTAATAATCATCACAACCAGAGATATGAACTTACTTAGAGGGAGAGTTGACCAAATATACAAAATGACTATAATGAATGAAAGTGAATCAATTGAACTTTTTAGTTGGAATGCATTCAAGCAAGTGACTCCTACAGATGAATTTCTTAACATTTCCAAAAATGTAGTTGAATATTCTGGGGGATTGCCCCTAGCTCTCGAAGTCCTTGGATCTAATTTGTTTAATAAGAAGAAGTCGGATTGGGAACTTGTGCTGGAGAAACTCAAAAGAATTCCTAATAGTCAAGTGCAGAAGAAGTTAAGAATAAGTTATGATGGCTTAAATGATGATGATGAAAAAGAAATGTTCCTTGACATAGCTTGTTTCTTTATTGGAATGGACCGATATGATGTTATACATATATTAAATGACTGTGGACTTTCTGCAGAAATTGGAATAAGTGTCCTCGTTGAGCGTAGCCTTGTGACTGTTGATGACAAGAACATGATTAGAATGCATGATTTGCTACGAGGTATGGGAAGAGAAATCATTCGTGAGGAATCACCAAGGATACCTGAAAATCGTAGCAGGTTGTGGTTTCAGGAGCATGTGATTGAGATTTTATCAAGACAAACCGTAAGAACTTAATATACTTCTCTTTTCTATCTTTTTATATTTTGAATTTAAAACATCTAAAGCTTAAGAAGTTAAAAGGAACATTTATAGTACTATGTATCTATTTGTTTTGTCGATTATCACGATGTCATCAAAAATTAATTTGGTTGTGAATCTTTTTGTGCTTCCTGACTTCTAGCTAGTAAAAAATGATTGGTTTCATGGCAAGTTTTATACCAGCATTGTTGCTTTAATTTTTTGTGTGTCTTTGCTTTTTGGTCCATTATATTTGATAGGGAACAAAAAGTGTTACGGGATTGGCTTTGAAGCTGCCTAGGGAAAATGATGTAAAATGTTTTTTAACCCATGCATTTCGTAAGTTGAAAAGGCTCAGACTGCTTCAACTTGTAGAGGTAAAACTTGATGGAGATTTTGAATATGTTTCAAGAGATCTGAGATGGCTGTCATGGGATGGATTAAGTGACGTACCTACAAATTTCTATCGAGAAAATTTGGTTTCCATCGAATTAGAGAACAGTAACGTGGAACTTCAATGGAATAAGACTCTGGTATTATTTTTCATTTTACTTTTTCACACTTCATTTTATCACTTCTCATATTTCTGGTTTAAATTTAAATATATAAATCACGGCCTTTCACGGAAATAATTAATTTTTTAGTCCTTGTGATAATGGAACTTTTTATGCATTTAACAACATATAGTTGGATGATAGTGTACACCACGGAAGCTACTACAATTACTGCAGGTCAAACATATAATTGCAAATTTGTCACCTAAATGTTGTTCAAAAATTTGATATAGCAAAAATAAGGGGCAAAAATGGTTGCATTTTTTACTATTTGATTAAAAAACTCTAAATTTACATTTCAAATTTCAAATTTTAAATTTATGAATTCAGTAGAATTCTCATACAATACTTGTCTTGTTTCAATGATTTTCCACTGATGTTGAACGTTTAAAAAATTACTCTATACTAACGTAAATGTTTTATTTATTTTTTTCCGTTTTTATGGGATATATTGTAATTCTTTCTATTTGCTTTTCGAAGTCTCTTCCCTAAGTTCATCAATAAAATTTATGTTCTTGCAGAGGATGGAGAAATTGAAAATTCTCAATCTTAGTCATTCTCACCATCTCACACAAAGCCCTGACTTTTCAAACATGCCTAATCTTGAAAAGCTAGTACTCAAAGATTGTCCATTGTTGTCTGAGGTTTCTCCTACCATTGGACATCTCAACAAAATTCTTCTAATAAATTTGGAAGATTGTATTAGCTTATATAGCCTTCCAAGAAACATCTATAAGTTGAAATCTCTAAAAATTCTCATTCTTTCGGGTTGTTTAAAGATTGAAAAGTTGGAAGAAGATTTAGAACAAATGGAATCTTCAACCAAAGTTCCCTTTTCAGTGATAGGGTCCAAAAGCATTGGATATATTCCTCTGTGGAGCTATGAAGGATTTTCATGTGATGTGTTTCCATCTATAATTTGGTCTTGGATGTCACCAACAAATAATCTCCCATCCCAATTTCAAACATCTACTATCATGTCATCTCTTGCTGCTTTAGATGTACCACATAGTAGTTCTCAGGAACTTTCATCAATTTCTAAGTACCTTCCAAGTCTTAGAAGTCTTTGGGTGGAGTGCAAATCTAAAGATCAACTTGTTGTACATACTAAAATAATTTTGGATGCTTTATATGCCACAGTTTCTAAGGATTTGGAATCAACATCAGAAGTATCAAATAGTACCACTCCTATACTAATTCAATGTTGTAGTCAAATGAACGTTTCAGGATCAAAACATTGCTCGAAATCTCTTTTTATTCAAATGGGAATGAATTGCCAAGTGACCAATTTTTTAAAAGAGAAAATTTTACAGGTTTGACACCCTCTCTCTATCCCCTTTTTATGCTATTAGTAATTGACAACTTGCATGACTTATGTGCGATTGTGTTAAAGAACTACCGTCTTTACTCCTTTTCTTTCCTACTAATGATATACCTTTTTTTGGCATGGTTTTATTTAATTTAATTATAAATGGCTCCGATACCATCTTAAAATTATGGTTTGATTTAAGTCAGCCTTACAAAACCGATTTGTAGAGTGAGAATTGTATTCCTATTTATAAATATATGTTCAGATCATATATCATCTGATGTGAGATTTTTAACACATAACTGCAATGCCAGTTATTTTATAAGCAAAATTTTATGTTAAACCTTAAGTGGTGCATAAGAAGTGCTAGTTTTAAGAACAACAAGAACAATTATAGCTGAAATACATGTTGAAAAATGGGAGGAAAAATTAAAAGTAAATCATTGAAACGCCATCTTAGTTAGTAACTGGACAAGTCTCACAGTAATAATGCATGTAAGTTTTGCTTTTGCTTTTGGTGGCACGTAGAGTTGTGACTTGTGACATCTTTTGCATGAACTTTATTTATAGAAGTAGACACTGTTTACACCCTTCAAGTTTTCAAATTGTCATTATTATCATTTCAGGTGGGACTAATAGTCTGTTTTATGAGTCCAGCCAAGCAAATATTTATGTGTAACTTCGAAAATCAAAACATCCAAAATATTATAAGTTACCTTGTGAGGAAAATTATATTTTATTTGTTGAATTAATTGATAAGGTTGTATTAAAATACTTGTCAATTAAAACTTGAACTTATCTTTACTTTTACAGAACATGGATGTCAATGACAGTGGTGGATGTTTTCTCCCCGGTGATAACTATCCAAGTTGGGTAACCTTTAATTCTGAAGGTTCTTCTGTAACCTTTCAAGTCCCTCAAGTCAAAGGGCATAACTTGAATACAATGATGTGCGTTGTCTATACTTCCACCCCGGATGACATAGCATCCGATGGACACCTTAAAAGCATGTTAGTAAAGAACTACACAAAGACTACCATTCAGCTTTATAAGAGAGAGACATTAGTCTCCCTTAAAGATGAGGAGGGGCAGAGGATAGTATTAAGCATGGAACCTGGTAACAAAGTGGAGGTTATCTTTGTTTTTGAGAATGGCTTCGTTGTGGAGAAGACCTCGCTTTATCTCATATATGATGAACCAGAGCAGTAAGGTTTTGCGATGCAGTTATATTTCTTTGTTGGAACTTTAGTTGTGGCCTGCTACCTATCTTCACCCAGTATGGGATTAGAGCTTTATATCGGTTTTGTTGAATGGAGTTGCATAGCTGATGTAAACTTGATCAAGGGTTTGGTTTCTCTATTTTTCTGCTGCAAGGAGCCTTTGGAAGCATATTCTCTTGCCTAGTCTGAATAGTATTATTCAGACAAATTTATAGCTGAAAAATATGATGTCTAAACATGTTTATTGATTGAGTTAGGGGTTTATCTAGATAGTATCATCCGGACAAAGATATAGGTACAAATGTAATGTCTAAACATGATTGTTAATTGAGTCAGTTTGTTTGGCTTGTATTATCCAAACAATCGTAAGTGCAAAACATAATGTCTAAATATGATTTTTAATTGAGTTATGGGTTTATCTTAACACTATTATTCAGAAAAACACTACAAACAAAATTAATAAATTGTGGCTAAATGTGAATATTATGGCAGTTATAGCTGCCACTATTGTCAAAAAGTAGGTTTGTATGAATAGTATTGTATGGATAAACTGTGGCGGTTTAAAAGTGAACATTAAGGCCGTTTCAGCAGACACAATTCTAAAAAACGTTACTTATCAATTTAAATAATCTAAACATGGTTGTCAATTGAATTAAGAGTTTGTTTGGATAATATTATCTAGACAAACCTAGTCTTTGAGAATTGTGTCACTAGAAATAATCATAATTTTCACATTTAAATCATCACAATTGATCTGTTATTTATAGGATGCATTGGAATTTTAGTGGAGCGATTGGCTACTTTTGCTTTTGGTGCATTGGAATTTTAGGGGAGGGATTGGCTACCTTTGGTGCCATTTTCTCTATCTTTTTCTTAACCACTACTCTCTCTCTTACTCATCCATTTTCAAATATATACTCAAGGTATGAAAGTTACTAAATAGTAAAAGGTAGCTAAATAGTAAATATGTACAATGTTGCCATTAGGCAGATATGTATTTTAGCACCAACATTACAATTATGTATAATATGTATTTCTAGACATGTACTATATGTGTGTGTTACATCTTCTTCATCATCTTCATCTTCCTAGTTAGATTTTAGCATGGGGGAAGACTTCATGACTTGGGGAAGTTAGGGCATGTGTTGATTACGTGGTTTTTCATGTTGCTTGATGTAAAATCTGTCGCGGTGAAAATCGGATACCAAACTATTGATTAGTTTGAATCTTTAATTCATTTTGCAACCGAACTTTGATTTATCCAAAGGAAGGGATAAAGACCGAAATTTCCACAATGCAATGCAAATGCAAGGTTTAGAGAGTTTTAGGTTCGGGGGTTGGTTAAACTTAGGGAAGGTGCTAGCATCCTAAGTTTCTGTAGTACTCTACATGAACCTCTTGTTTTATGTTTGTTTTATTGCTAAGTGTTTATCTGCTTAAAGGTTAAAGACCTAGGGGTTTATTTCTAAGTATACTCGATAAGATGTCGCATCTTATGCCTACATATCCTTACGGGAGTGGAATCAGAGTATCTGTAGTTCCCCTAAAGGGTTTGAGGAGTTCTTTGACTGTGGTCAAAGTTCCTACGGGTTTAAGGTAGTTGATTGATTGATTTTAGGAGAAGGAGATGAGTTGTCATTTTAAGAGAGATTTAACCGCCACAAATTGTAGGAAAATAGTCTTTGCATCGTCATAAGAGAAGGGCTCAAGTACTCAGATATGGATCGACGAGGTACGCCTCTATCTCTCTTAAGGCAAAGTTCCTACGATATTGATTGTATTGATGTGGGGTGGAGATTTTATCTCGCTTAAGATGATTAACATCTATTTCTCTATTGTGTTTGAATATTGTTGTATTGAGTTGAATTGTTTATTCTAAGTTGTAAAGTAAAGACAAAGGTCCTCCTATGGGGTAGGATCTGTCCTAAAAGATCGACTTGAATGAGATCAAGGATCAAGAGGGAGTATGATGCAAATGATGTGCACTACACACAATTGTTGAATCATGTCTAGGTTTTTTCTTTGGACGGAATGCAAGGCGGAAATATAAATTGCGATAATGAAAGTTGCTTGTAAAATAAATTGCGGAAATAATAAAGCATACATGTACGCATGAAAGCGCTGAAGAGTGAATCGTGAATGCGGGTGTGCACGATTAGGTTGTATTTTACGATGTGAGTTGATTTTAATTGGTTAAATTAATTTTAGTTTGAATTATATTGATTTGGGTGAATTGACTTATAAGCGAGAAGTTGATATAGATTAAATTCTAAGATTTTTACTAAAATACTACAATGATTTACTTTATTATAAAAAAGAAGTAATTATTTTGTTATGGTTATTATTATGTTGATTATAGAATGAAAATAGTTTTTATTATTTATTTTTTTAAAAGTTAATTAAATACTCAAAATTTATTTAAATAAATAAATTAACAAATAGGTGTGATTTATTTATAAAAAGTTTTTTAGTGAATAAATACTTATTTGATTAAAATGTTATTAAAATAAAAAAGGTTAAATTAATTAATTGGCAAAATAATTAACTATTAATACAAATTAAATTATTTAGGATTTTTTTTTATTTTAAAAGTATAATAGGATAAGTTATATGTTTAATAAAATAAAAGGTTTTTTTATTAAAGGAAATTAATAATATTAATAAAGTTGAGAGGAATAGAATTATGAAATTGGTTTCGGTTGAATTTAATTATAAAAGATTAATTGATTAATTAGATTAAAAAAAATATTAGGTTGATTTATCATTTTAATAAAAAATCAAAGTTAATTAAAGGATTAAAGGTTTTAAAAAATATATTAAAACAAATTATTGGTTTTTAAAAAGGATTAATTAGAGTTTAATAAAAAGGCGTTGGATACCGTGGTGGAGGTGCATCGGATCTACTGTGGGCATGCAATGTGATCCGTGAATCATGAGGTGTGTGGTGATAATGACAAGGGACCACGGTACTACCGTGGTCGTGCATACATACATCAGAATAACAACAAAACAACAAAATAGTAAAAAAAACGTAGGAAGCTACATAATGGAACCCTAATCCCAAACTCGTTCGCTCGATCTCCTCTCCCGTTCAACCTCCGTTTCAATCTCCATTGCAATCTTTGTCGTTTCGTTCTATTCTTGTACCTGAAACAAAATTCGAAGCGTTAATCGTTCAACAATTTCAAAATGAGTAAGGGTTTACCGAAGTTTGGTGGAGCGGTGATGACTCGTGCGGCGAAATGGGGGTTTTGTCCGTCAAATCTGCGGCGCCGGTGATGGTTGTCGGTGACCGGAGATGATTGCCAATTGAGATAAGTTTCTTTTACTCGAAGTTTTTGTTTACGCTCATAGGATTTTTCCGTCGTCCTGAATTCCTTCTCCTCTTCATCTTATATAGATTTTTTTAAAATCAATTGCCTTGAAAACTGATTTAAAACACTTTGAAGGCTTGATTGGATTTTCTATTTCGGTACAAACCAATTTGAAAACTTTCCTTTCTCGCTCAAATCTCTTAAGTATCTGTTAAATGAAAATCCAATCTTTGATACCGTATCAATTTCGTTAAAACTCATATGTCCAGGTTCAATGTTTGGATTTGGATTGGATATTTTCGAATCTTCTTGTGGGAATATTCTTCTGGATTTACTAATTCGAGATTTGCGTTTTACAGGTGTAGAAAGCGAACGAGTTGGGCCAGTAGACGGACAGCCCAAAGAGAATACGGTATTGGAGTGGACAGGTTCGTCGCGGCCATTCAACGAGAACTGAACGGTCCTTAGAGATGTCATTCGAAGACTAAACTGGGATTGATTCTATTGTTGTTGATAATGTTGCACGAATTGGTTGCTTTTGAACTAATTGATTCACTGATGGTGTAGGAATGGAAGGGGATGCAACAGGTGTTCCTGATTCCCGCAACTTCTTCTCGATCAAATCTTGTGCCGCTGGTGAGCTCTGTACACTAGAGGGTTTAGGAGTTGCAGCATCATGACCACCAGTGGTAATAGCGGGAGCATTCAAAACAACCACTCCAGACCCTCTATCAGAAGATGAATCAGTATTTGGAACTGGTACTGAACTGTCTTGTAACATCACCCTCCTGCTTTTTAACTCAGCTACCTTAATTGGAACTTGCCAGCAGCTTGTTATAATAATTATTTCTATCACTAGTAGAGACCAACTGTCAATCAGTACCAGGCAAATCCATCATTGAAGCTGGGGTAGGCTGCATAGAAACTTGGTAAGCCTTTCCTGACTTTTCTGCAGTTAACTCCTGGAACCTAACCTTATGCTTTGTTTTTGGCTTCGAAAGTAGTAGAAGATATATTATTAGTTATGAACAATATCTTGTCCTAAACCTCTGACTTTGGAGCTTGTATACGGAACACCAGTAGCATATCGGGATTGTCATGCAAATGGATGATGGGTTTGATGAGGCACTGACTGTGCTATGTAACTCATTGCCACTATAAATGTTGGCTGGTATAATCATCGAAGATTACCCTCAAGTCTGCAGTATAACATTGCTTGAGCTTCCAGCTCAAACACCCGAATAGCTTATCACCAAGCTATCGTCAGACTTTAGACGTTAAAAACAACGCTTACTGGGAGGCAACCCAACTTTTCCCGCATTTTTCCTCGTTACTGTATTTCATTCTTTATTTAAAATTTTACTTTGAAAATTTAACAAAAATTCTAAACTTATAATTACTACTACTTTCTACTTTCGTTTGTTTTCATATTTTTATTTTTATTTTATTTTTCTCTTTTGTCTTTTGTTTCTACCACTTTTTGTTTTTAAAAATCCTGACTTCAAACTCCTGTTTTAAACTTTTCAGGATTTTTAAAGTCTTCAAAACGTTCCTTCTGTTTTCTACGAATTACCTGCGCGTATGGCCAAGTACGACTTCTCAAAGGTTCATTTTCGAGGACTAGCTCAAAAGGCAAGATTTGCAGCACTAACTGAAAGAGAAATCGCCTTAACGC